AGTTAGCCAGTTGATGGGTAACCGGGCTACAACTGTATCAAAATACTTATTGCATTAGAATAAATCTTTAAATCGATTCCACCTATTGAACAGTCTTTGAGGACATTTAGTTTCATAGAAAGGGTTAGAGTTCGGGCTTGAAGAAAAATGTAAGAATAATCACTTTTTTTCATTTTTATTCAAAACAGTTTGTATTGTACACACATGGAAATGAAAAAAAAAAGTTCTGCCTAATACATGGATGACAGTATTATTAAAGAAGATGGGCCGATAAGGCGGACGAAGTGCCTATAGTGCGACAAATAAGAGGTGAAAAATTTTATCTCAATTATATCCAAATTTTATCTGATATTTCATCTAATATTAAAGTATACTTAATGAAAAATCTCTACAATTTACAAAAGTCTCGGCAATACTGAAAATATTTTTCTACGAAAAAGCATACACACACTAAAAAGAAAAAAAAATCGATAATTCCCTCATACTATAACAAAATTTATCAATATAAGTGGGTCTTCCCTCCATTTTTGAAAGATAATCATAAAGTTTGCAATAAAATATACATTTTTTGGTTTACAAAAACATGGAGCGAAGACCCACTATACCTTAAAAGTACAGTTTTATTACAAAACATTTGCATCTTTCTGAAAAATACTTCAAGTCCATTAATTCAAGGGTCATATCACAAACATGATTTAAATGTCCGAAATTTTCATGAGACACGTAGCATAGTAGTTAGCGTGTTAGTCTCAAAGCAGTATAATACGTCGGATTTTTATTGCTAGGGGTTCGAATCCCACGAATGTCATCTTATTACTTTTATAAAATAAAATTTTTTAACGAGATTTTTTCTCTCAGATGAGTTTTTTTTCCATAATTTTGATAATGAGAAGTTAATTTAAATACTCAATTCATATGTAGAATGTGATTTCTTAATATCCGACGCTATAGGCATTCTGCCCGCATTATTCACCCATCTTCTTTTTTTTCAACAAACAGCGCTTTAAATCATTTATAAAAAACAATTCAAATTTGTAAGTCAATGCAACAATACACAATTTACAGGAAGATAAAATGGATCCCAAAACACTGGAAGATGGAACACATACAATTGAGGCACAGATAAAGAAAATGTCATGTGGCGAATTAACCGATTTATGACAGGCCATTAACTTAAGAGTGTACTTCCTTTCATAAAATCATTTTCATACTTCCTTATTTGAACAGCAAAAATGCAAGTATTTGATATAATGAACAGCGTGAGAATACTATAAAATTTCTTTGGACCCCTTTGACCTGACCTGGCGTTTATTTCCACCACTTATGTGACGCCAAATCTTTTTTTTTTTTGCCTGACATAAAATGTTTGCTTCGTCTCAAATAAAAAACTGAAAATTTTACCTGATTCAAAATTTGATTGAAATTTTATTTTTATAAGGATTTCATTCTTAAAAATTAAAGCAGATGAATAATATTTCTCTGTTGATTACGAAAGCCCAAAAGGCTCATTCGAGATTCGTGTTTCAAAATACGAGATTCGAAATTCGATATTTGAAATTCGAAATGCTAAAATGATAATGCAAGAAAAAATATTTTATGTATTAAAATGAAATAAAAATAAAATATGGATTACATTTTGAAAAAAAAAAAATTCTAATTAATCAAAACAGTAAATACGTATAATATTGAATATTATATGCTCTTATCGTTGATTTTCGGATTAAGTAATTTTTTATTAGATCAATGATGAGGGAGGAAATTATTACTGATTAGATATGAAAGATTAATTAAGAATCTCTCTACAATGCACAGTAATTAAAGGGTATATATTTCATTGAATTTATAAAGGGTACACTTGTGCAGTGAGACTTGACAGCTGAATCGAACCGTAGAGTTATAAGGTTTTACTAGTACAATTTAGTCTTTGACCATAACGCAATGGTAGGAGATTAAAATATAAAACCATAACGCTATAGTTCTCCGGCTAATTAAGACTCATCTACTTATTTGATATCAGATAAAATAAATAACGTATTTATTTTATTTCATATTGCCAATCTGTATAATGTTTAATGAATTCAAGAAATCAAAACCTAAGGCCAAGATAAGTAATTGAAAACTAATTTTTACGTATTTCCTCTATTAGGAAAACGAACGGGATTTTTGTTTAACAATACTACGTTGCCTTTCAAGTTTTACACAGTCACATTTTCATTAAATATTGTGTTTAATTTGGAATAATAGGCAGATAGGGTGGGTAGGGTTGGTGTTATTGTTAATCTTCAGACACTTGTCACTCATGTATATGTTTATTAATACGTCATCAACCCTTTAAACATAGTAGACAATACAAATATATATATACTCCTGATATATATAATAGATTTAATATTTAAGACGCTTTAACACGAATTGAAATATATCTTGCTGATCAAAAATCCTATAAGTATTTAAATTTCCTTCTAATTAATATATAAAACACTCATTCTTGCATTGTTATTTAATCAAATGACCCATTTGTTATAAATATATTTAACGATTTCTTGATAATAGAAACATAATAAAGGGGAGTAATCAAATGTTGAACCCGCTTTTGATTGGTTAGTCTTGATCTTGAATCTCGAAACTCGAATTTTGAATCTCAATTTCGAATCTCGTATTTTGAAACTCGAATCTCGAATCAGCCTTCTGGTCTTTCGTAGTTGATGGGTAATTGTTCAAATCATAAATAATCATGAATTACTTTCAATCTGATTAAATCTTATTTTTTCTCTTAATTAATCTGTTCTTAGTTTTTTTTATGTTTCTTGATAAAATATTAGAAAATGGGGATAATTTCATAAAATTTTCTTTATCGTTTAGTATCGTAAAAAGTATTAGTGAAAGATTATCATCACCAAGAACCTCGTCTGTACTGTTTTTATTGTCAGTCTGGTCTTCATGTGATAGTTGATTGTCTTTATTGTTTCCGTACCTTACATTTAAATACACAGGTGAATGTTTACCAGTACGTTTATCCGTCAGTGCTAAAGGCAACCCTAACAAAATAGGAAAATTCTTACAGATACTAGAGAAATATATTCAAAACCAACACGAATTCATTATTACTCAGAATGAAAAGTATTATATTAAAGAATTCAAGAAAAACATTCGTTTTCTATAGAGAAGGTCGCAAAAGGGGTTATAGTTCTTGTATAGAAAATATGAATATACGATACCTTCTAATACAGACTGCTAGAAGAATAAGATTCACTAGAATTCAAACTAGAAGTAAAAACATCGAAAGCAAACGCCTTTGTCTTGTTATTATCTTCTATTTTAAGCGCACACTTATTGGCCTCCTGTGTCATAATAAAAAGATTTTTTATCGATAATCATTAAAATCACTATACCTTGGGGTGGGGGGGGGGGGGAGGCAACCAAACAGGTGGAAAGTACTTAATAAGTCATATGATCATATCACATAAATTCATTACATTCAATTAATGATTAAGATCGAGCAATCGTTTCTATCCAAAATTTTTACATATTTAAAGACGTTGGACAATATCTTTAAATTTAAGAGCTTGAGTTTCTAAACCACATATCGTCCTACACTGAATTAAGTTCAAAGTTCTATATTATTCAACATCCTGTATATTGCATTGTTAATAGAATGGATTTTGCAATTAAACTCTTTTATTTGGTCAATTATTGGCTGTTGTCAAACTTTTTTCATACTGAATTGTACAATGTTTTTTTTTTCTGTTTATTTGCGATGAAACGAAAAGTGATGCATATTCCTTCTTAGTACAAGATCCCTCCTCTATTCGTAGAGGCACCTGTCGATTCTGCTTTTAATTTGTAATGTTTAATTTATTGTTTTATAATTTGTCTAATTTGAACTAATATTATCACTCATTAGCTTTACATTTATCTTAAAAAACATCATTTTCAAATTAAAGCCATGAAAGAGACAAGAAAATGAATGAAGACCCTCGATACATGTAACCCGTGTTATGATATAGAGATGCTTAATTATCAATGTAATACATGTAAATAAAAGTATTATTGATGATATTTCTACAACCTGATATCTTTTGTTGACTAAATCTATGATAACAAGAGATATTACAACGTTCAGACCATGGACTCCATATAAATCAAAACGGACATACTGCAATAATGTAAGAGGAATATATGGGAATCATTGCAATAAATGTTTTCAAGAAGACAAAAAAGGTGAATTTTCTAATTCTATATTGAAACAAACCCATGCCACATTTATCGCCTATCAACTCTGCTGCACAGCCTCCATCACAACTTCCGGTCATATGATCGCAATCTTTCATGTCTTTTCTCCCTCTGCACTGGCCACATTTGCTTTTACAATTTGAACCATACGCACATGTACGTACATGTACATGTACCATCAAGAAAAAATGTTTTTGAAAAAAAGGCTAGATGTAAAGACATTTTGAAAGTAAGATTTGATATTGGTGCCAAGTAAGACATAAATTAAAAAAAAACCTCAAAATCGTCAAAGTGTTCTGAAACGTGATTCGAGTTTTTTTTAAAAATATCATTTCAAACTTTTGTCACATTTATCTCCCTTCGATTACTAGTATCTCAGATACTAGTTTTACTAAAAAAGAGCGTCTGGAGTCGCGAAGCAAGGAGTTGTTTTTTACATCGCGGGATCGAATTCCACTGTGGGCGTGGGACGTGGAGACCGATCCTTCGGATGAGATCGTATAGACGAGGTCCTGTGCCGAAGTAGGTGCTGGAAAAGAATTGTCTTACGCCGACCACCGATATTAAACATCCTTTAAATGCTACTTTATATGCCCATTACATCGCAGGCTTATAATATTATGTCAAAATATCAAAAAAGATGATAATTCATCAGCATGCAAAATAGTATTAGTTTTGGTTGAATAATATTTGGAACATTCAAAAAGATCTCTTTTTTCTGGACAATCCTCGTATATATGCACTATGGGAATATTCCTTTTCTAAAAACTGTAAAAAAAAAAATGACACAAATCACAATTAATTGAAAAAAAAATCAACACGATCAAAATATCACGTACACATGTATCACAGAGTCCACAGCTATGAACATATCATGCTTTATAAGTTATAACACATCTATGACTTCTGTTTCTCATTTTCCCAATGACGCATAATTATGTATATCCTGAGCACTTGCACTGTTCTGTAATGATTCATAATAAATGTTAATTTCCGCTGTTGATTGCTCTTCCTGATTCAGATGTTCAACTGATGACTCCGCGATCTTAAATTTAACATACATTGGAGTTGTCCCCGATAAGATGTCCTTCTTATTTAGCCTTAATCTGCAATTGTGTTGAAATTGATTTGAACTTGACAATCTTCCTTTCATTACTGATAATGCACAAACGGAATAAATCGTGAAAATTTAACATACCTTAGGAAATACATAATAAAGACTCCAAAATGTATCAGAAGTGACACTTTTAGTGCAGCCAACAAGCCATACACTTCTAAACTGCATTTCCCACTAGAATGAGGGGCTTTGGTCACTATAAAAGAAAACAAACGTAATTTTTAATGGCAAATTATTCAATATGAAAGAGCTCGCGATCGGTTTACTTCATGCATAAAACGGCATTGTAGATGAAACATATGGAGATAACGAACAGTGGTCCAGATCAAAACTCCGCAAAACAATACAAAATAGGAGCAGATCAAGCACGGACCTCCAAAACATCAGAGGTGGGATCAGGTGCCTTCAGGAGTGAGCATTCCCTGCCGACCGGTCACGCCTACCGTGTGCTCCTAGTCATGATCGGGAAATAACGAAAAATCCGTCGTCAATTCAGGAAATAAATAATTGACTAACAATAAGTATGAAAAACATCAGTCAGCATTTGATTCAATGACAAACTGCATTTGCTGATAAGGTCATTATATCGACCACTGAACCCACGAAACGATGACCCCAAAACGAGACTGCTGACACCTCTGCCTCATCAACCTAGATATACCAAATTATTGACTGACACTTCACGTCTCTTTTTGAACATCAAAATAAAGTAGAGATGTACTATACTTTTCCAATGATTTTTCTTCTTCTTAAACCCAAGGTCTTGAAACACAGGCTTTATGAAATTGATATGTTCTTGAACTATACTGTAAACAGGCATATTTGAGTACTTTCAGAGAAGAAAATAATATGACGTGTTTTGTAATTCTCAGAATCAGTTATATCATTTACTATTTGCTTATTTCAGATCAGAAATGAAACTTAAAAATTTGCTGGGTTTTTTTTTTTTTGTAGACTTTTTCAGAATATGAAAAATTTGACATATATACTACGTCATAATGCATTAACCTTCTAGACATTTTTATAGGCATGCAATCAACAAAGACAAAGGTCTACTTGATATTTAATGCATTATTAACTAACATTAAGCAGTTTCAAATTTTTCAGTTATTCACAGGACCATAAATGAATCTTGTTCTTCATGATATTTCGTACATGTAACCATCTTAACTATTATACATGAATGTATACATATAAAAGTATGTAATATTACGTTAATTTATCGTGTAGAATATTTGTACCTTCCAATTCTTCACTATCTGTTAAGCAGAGAGCACAACACTCATCACAATGCTGGCTTTGATTATTCCTAGTGGAGGTCATTTCCCTGCAAATTTCTGTACAGTTTGTTCCACAAATCCCTTCGGGACATTCTAAATGAAGGATATGGAGGTAACGAACAGTATTCAATATCAAATAAATTATGCGGAAATGAATGTGTTTTAAAATACTTATTCTTTCAACAAAGATACCTTTATCCAAGACGAGATAAATGAACATTATGTTCAAATAATTTGCTTTTTATAACTGATTTTTTTTCTTTAAAAAAAGGGTATTTTTTTTTAATATTATTTTGGTGTTATTCATTATTGATGAATTCTTGTGATTTCATGCATAGTCATAGATGTAAAGGTTTTGCAACATATTGAATGAATAGAATCTGTAGATTATAAATACACACTAACTAATGTCACAGTTATTGCCAATATACCAATCGTCACAGCCTTTCGAGCATACACCAGTCACGTGATCACAATTTCCGACGCCATCTTTACACTGCCCACAAAGTTTAGTGCAGTTTGTACCATATCCACATTCTATATATAAAAAACAGATCAATTCACACATTGCATTCATATATTTAAAAAGCTAAATCAATTAACATTCATTTGATGTAAAAAAAAAGATTATTGTTCTAACAAAATTTTGCAACGTCAGCATTTAAATATTGTGAAGAATTTTATGTATAAAATAACTTTTTATCCAATCAAATACATCGTTACATCCAGAATTAAATTATATGTAGATGAAGAAACATATAGAGTAAGGAATGACTCCAAGGGGATTATAAAACAGCATAAACTGGCCAAAACCAGGCTATACTCGAATAATTAGGTCAAGGGGTATGTATTTTTTGTTAAAAAATCAAATGATATATCTTGTTTTTAAAAACATCTTTTAAAACAGTTTTAGCTTACCAAATTCACATAGGTTTCCATGGTATCCAGAAAAACAGCTGCACGTAAAGGACACACAATTGTTTGTACATGTTCCATTTCCACAAGGACGGTTTACGCACAATCCTAGACTATCTGTAACAATGTCTTCAAATTAAAATATCCAGACTTCAAGCACATAAAAGCTGTTATTTTATCTAATAAATACATATAAACCCATCTCAGTCTTGGTCGTTTAGAATATTGAATTAACAATTAAGAATTGTAAACAATGTAACAATGAAACAATTAACAAAGTAAAAAAAAAATTACATTAGAAAATTTTCGTAAAAAGTACATTACTGTACAATTTCAAAAACAACATTTTGATTTGTTATCCAGAAAATGAGACATTGTAAATTTAAAACAAAACTGACAAGACCTACCTTCACACGTCATATTCCATCTCAATGTCTTGGGACGGCCAACGTGGGGGTCAATCCCAAGAAAGGTATTTGTTGCTTTTATTAAGCACGATCTAATGTTGCAACAGTTAATTTGAAGAGCTCTTGTAACATCTGCTGAGAATTCATTGGTGAAATATTCTCCTCGTGTGAACCCTACATACTGACCTTCGGGACATTCAAGAACAGTTTGACTTCTTTCCCTCAGAGTTCCTATCAAAATATTCTCTGATGAAATGCGTTAGAAAAATTGTGAATTGTACAATTACTTTACATTTATATATATTTAAATTAAGGTTTTAAAATCATGAAGCCTCTTCTATTATACAGTAGCACAAAGACGTTGAAACACCAAAATTTATTATGCTAACTAACTTTGCTCTTATTTTGTTGGACTATATGTTGGAAAATAAAGACAATAAATTAATCAAACCGATACAAATCATGAACAGGGTACATTATAAGCACGGGCATCTTAAACATCAGATATCGGATCATGTACCATGGAAGAGCGAAATGTCCAGATCGTCCGTCATGCATGATTTGAAGTAATATCCTTAGTTATAAAAAAGCTATTAATTTAACATAGGTTAATTAACGATTAATGAAATTAGGACTAGATTCCTTATACATACAAACCCTACATTTGAATTATTTCATAAAAATTAGGTTTAATACATGTAGAATGAGAATAATTACAATTGAAATAAAAGTATTAAATTTTTAAAATTAATCTTTTCATCTGGCCAATTAAGGCAGGGTTTTTTATTTATTGAAAATTACCAAAAAACGATCTAAAAGGAAAGTTTTATACTATATATAGAAAGACATAGCTTGAGGCAATTACATATTTGTAATACTTTGTAAAAATAAAGTTGAATATGTAAAATATTTGATCAATTACAGTAATGCAGTGTAATTATTTAACTTTAGAGAGGGATTTTTTTTTATTTTTATTTTACCTAAAGTAGGTCAGACGACAACGAAGAAGAAAACTTTAATTATCATGGAATTCCTTTTAATCAAAATATGGAACTAAAATCTATACATCATGAAATCAAGTTGTTAATATGACACGCACTTATATATAACCATTACTGAACATCCAATAATACACTAGCAAGGCCAAATATTCCACAAAAGATATTGTAAACAAAACCTAACTGAATTAATAAAAAAAATTAACGTACCATATGAATCTCCATACACCATTGAAAGGGAAACGAAAATTGTTTTTATAATTAAGGACGCCATTTTCGTTGTAAGACAGAGTATATTTTTAGATAGGTATTCAAGTTACCGGATTTTCCAGTTGATCTCTCTCTCTCTCTCTCTCTCTCTCTCTCTCTTACAAATTATTATATAAGTACTTATCCTACAGGATGTTTCTTTCTTTAAAAAAGACATTGTCTCTGAAAAACTCGGTTATAAGGATACACAAAATGGAAGACGCCCACCCCCTTGTAACCAAGTTTACCTGCATTGGATATAGGGTCCAAAATTTAATCAATATATTACACAGAAATCGCCTCATATGTATGAATTATCATTAATATATATATTGATTCCGAAGCTAAAAGCATCATTTAATACAATTCAAAATTAGAATTATAGATTTTGCAGGACATTTGCATTTTATACGGTATTATGTTTTGTGTTTATGTTGATCATATTTCACAAAATGGAAGTCCAAAGTAGCCAAGTTAAACTGCATTGGATAGGGTCCAAAATTTTAATTTATACATTACACAGAAATCACCTTGTTTATATGAATTATCACTATTATATATAGATTCCAATAGCTAAAACATAATTCAAAACATTTCAAAATTAGAAATACTTTTATCAAGAATATTTCAAAAGTGGAAATTGGTGTAATGAAACTGTGCTAATATAGATTTAGCAGGACATTTGCATTTTATACAGGATTGTGTTTTGAGTTTATGTAAATCATATTTTATTTAAGCAAATATGAATCATTTTTTTCTAGGATATAGTCTTATAACTACAAAGGTGTGTGCAATCAAATCGAGTAAAGCGTGTTAGCGCGTTATGAAAATTTCTTTGCGCGCACCGTTGCAGTTATGAGACTATATTTTTCAAAAAAAGATTCATTGCCTATATATTCATTTTTAAACTCTCTTCATTGACTGCAAATGTGATTTATATTTAAAAACTTTTGTATTTTTCTTCATGTAAACTTCAGTTAATGGTACAGCCAACGCAGCAGCTTCTGGTCAACGTAAGCGTGATTTTTTTTATTGTTTTGCTTATGACGTTGCATTTCCTCGGTGTTTAACGATTGTGACATCAAACTAAAATGCTATGACCTATTGGTACTCAGTCCGTGTTATGGTGTTTTGAATGCAATAGATTTCCATTCACTTTATATGCAAAAGACATATGTAATGTAAATATAGACGATTAACACTCAAATGACTGATTCAAGTTTAGTCTTAATTATTTAGTTATTGATTAAAAAACTATCAAAAACATTTAGAAGAAAATATATATCAAAGATACGTACAAAAAGGTTAAATTTTGTAAAAATCACACCCAAGTGTATACAATGTCAGAAAGTGGACATGCTTTTTATGAATTATTGACCCCGAGCGAAAGATGAATATTACATTTAACATTACTAAGCGGATATGGATGTAAAATTAGAATAATAAGTAGATGAATTTCATGACTACGGAAATCATACAGCAAGACAAGGTACTTTAGAGATAAGTGCGGTATAGTGATAAATAAGTGCTTTGATCATGTTTTATATACTTTTCATAATACAAAAAGACGGAAGTAAATGGATGCAGGAAAAATACTCAGATAAACTTGAGGATATGAAAATGAAATTAAAATTATCGACAAGTACCATTAACTGTACAAAAATCTATTCATAAATAATATTTGTTAATCAATCATCTCTATTGCTTTCTTATCATATTGGATTTATATTGGTTTTTTATACATTGTATTTGTAATTTAAAATTTTCCAAATAGCTATTTTTTTTTTATTTTGTAGTTTTTTAAAATTATCATTGTAATGATTGTCAATTGCATTTTTGTATTCTATAAATTCCATTTGTTTTGCATTGCCTTCGTTTAAATAATAATTTTCGATCTGTATTTTATAATTTAGTTTTGTATTCGACAAATCTTAAAAATACATACTATGCAAATAAGCAAACTGTTTTTATAGATTACCATAATATCTTTATTTGCAATGACACGTTTTATCCTCAATTTCCGTGTTACGCTTCCTCTAGAATGCTTATCTGATTGCTTGAAGAAGATTTTTTTTAATAAATGTCATTGCAAAATGAAAAATTTACGAGCTCTGGCTTGTACAAACTCATTTCCATATGAATTTAAGTAAAAATACATATTTTACAAAAACATATATCTGTTACCTATCACAATTTTGAAATGAGTACTTAGGATTCTACCAAAAAATGAAAAGGATTTCAAGGTACACGATCTCATGTTTGAAAACTACTTGCAGAGATCAAAGATCTCCATATATATGTAAAATAGTCATGTTTTTTCACAATTAAGTATATCTTTTCTTTACTTCATTGTCATTAACAACAATACATTTGTATTCATTCGGTGCAATGTGTGATGATGCAAAACGTTATTGTTTCTACGCTATATAATAAAAGCAGCTAGTTTAGTATGTTAATTTGATCTTACAAAATCATAATAAAGACAACTATGCTTTCCTCATCACGTAGGATAAACTTATAGTTAAAAGCAGCATTGATTTATATTGGAAAACTGTGGTTTAATTTCAATATTTTGGAACAGTCCTCATAACCCGGAGCATCACTTCCATATAGAATGACTTTAAAAGGACTATCTTGTCACACTAAAAACTTATATTTCAACAAATCTTTATTTCTAAAGTATGAAATTTTCATTTCTCACAATGTTTGAAATATTGCTCTTATTTCACAATACAAAAAATATTGAAAGGCCATTTTAAAAGTTCATATTTCTCTTTTAATTAGGTTGTAGAAATAGGTTGTTTAATTTCAAGAACAGAAACAAAATGTCATAAAAATTATGTGAGTTTCTTGAATGTTGAATTGAGGATTGCATTTCATCAAGTGACCCCATAATAATGCAGATTGTTTCATTAAAAACATATTTAAGACCTTACGTCAAAGAAAGGTTTGGAAAACAAACAATTCCAATAAGAAAAAGCTTTTTTATTCAATCCTGAGTGGAATCGATTCTGACTTACATATCTTTACATGGCATATAATATAGATAACAATAATTATAAGGCCTAAGCATGAACATATATATTATATATTTGCATCCATGTAAGGATGCTTGTAAAATACTCATGTAAAAATACTGTTAATCTTAGAAATCTAATACCTAAATAGCACAATATGCAAAATAATCAGTATTGATCAAAAGATATAGACTTATGAAAGCAATGAACAGATACTAAATATATTGTAGATAAGATAGTAACTAACAAGTGTTTTCTAAAATATTAATATTAAGAATCACATATTTATATAATAGGACATGTGCAGAATTCTTAGTTATCTTATCAGAAGTAATAAGCATTTTTACATGTAGGAATGTAAATGAAAAAAAAACTCAGGATGTGTCAACTGAAAGATGTAAAAATGTGGCAAAAGTGTTTGTTTCTAGTATATTTACAGTAGGCTTTTGTTTGTTTTGCAAATTAGATATATATTATACATTTTTCCCTCTTTTAACTTCTTAATGAGTCATAATCGTGTTTCTCCGCTTCACTGGAGCTGACATTTATTCTTTCATAATATATTTTCCCTTCTCTTGATTCTTGTTCTTGCGCAGCCTGTTCGTTTCTTGTTTCTGCAATTGGTATTGCATTAGCATACATCGGTGTGTCTTGAACTGTAGCCTTCTTCCCTCTTCTAAATATGATTCTGCTAATTGTATCAAAAATCAAATCAAATCATTTTATACATTAACTTTTATATATTTTTAAAACTTATTATGATTTTGTATTACAATAACTCTTCATATTGTATTCTAACCTTTTACAATATAACGTAATGAACACACAGTTTATCAGAATAGAAACTGTAAGTGTTGCCACCAAGCCATAAACGTCTGATTTAGCGTCGACGAGTCTTTCACCTTTTGAAAAAAAATACAATCAACAAAAAGATAAAGTTTGGAATTGCCATATGTGACTGAGAGCGACTTGTATTGTAAATGACCATGCAGACTTTTATTTCTGATTTATCATTTAATTTTACGTATGTTAACTGATAAAAGCAAAAATGAATTGCTCAGTTTAAATCAATATTCCCGTCATTTTTGAAGGTCTTACTTTATAAAAACATTGAATACTTTCTAACATCTTAGTTTAATTAACACCTTGTGTCAAGGAATACCCACCTTCTTTCTTCTCACTCATGTTACTGTTGATAAATCCTTTAGTACACAACTCATCAGTCACGTTGAAACATTTTTTGGCACTATTTTTTAAGTCTTCATATGTTCTTGTCAAGTTTGTTCTAGCTACATCTTTGCAATTCTCTACATATATGTTTAATAGAAAATAAATTTTACGTGCAAGCGTACAGATGTATCAACATAAAATGAAATCAAATATATTTATTGCATAATATATTTAATAAGGTACATAATACATGTACATGAATTGCATTTTTCATAAACATTATAAGAACAGTTCTCGATCTTACTTTAAAAGAATCCAAAACTCGTTCAAAGAGTGTGCACACTCAGGAACACAAAAAATAGGCTAGTGGCAGTGCTAGAATTTTGTTCTCTCTAAATATTATGATTATATGAATGGTAAAGATAATAACGAACAGTGTTCAATCACGGAAAAGTCGAGGAACAATACAAAACCGTCATAAACACGAACTTCTAGGAACTCAAGATATTGGATTAGGAGCTTAGGAGGAGTAAGCATCCCCTGACGTGAGTCTTTGTATTTAACTTGAATTGTAGACAAAAAGTATAAGGCTAAAAAATTGTATATGAAACAAGTCAGCTAAAAATATGACCTTTTGATAGGTTATATTTGCTTACAAGGTCATATTTGCCTCCATAACATTTATGAGATGATTATTTTAAACGAGATCGGTAAAATCTCTGATATAGGTATTTATTTGCATCATGTAACAGTTTATCGGAGCACACAAAATACCATAAAAAATGTTTACTCCTCCATGGTACCTGATCCCACCTCTGATGTTTCGGGAGTCCGTGTTTGCTCTGCTCTTATTTTGTATTGTTTTATGGACTTTTAGATTGAATACTGTTCGTTATCTCCATATCCTTCTAAATTTAAAAAGGCAGAAAGGGTTATTGTACTCAAAGCATTCTCTTTAGTATCGAATTTATTTGCGAGATGTCATCAGCATAATTTAATATTACTGCATAAATAAGGAATTTTAAAGTTTACGATAAAAATTTTAACATTTTAATTGTGTACAGTTGTGTTGACCCTAATCGTCTTAAGTTAGTAAACTATCAAATTATGAAACTGACAAGGCAGCATACATTGTGGCACTGTAGTTTAAGATCCAGCAGTATGTCGAATGGTCATATGAAAATAAACATGTAGTAAATTGATTGCAAATCGTTTGTTTCTGAAAGTCAAGTTAAAAAGCACAGCAAGTATTTTTTTTTTCTGGCAGTGGGTACAAACATTGCATGCAGTTTTTATCTGCCACCATTTTTGCTCATTGTTATTTTTTGGATACTGGATTGTTAATTTGGATATTCTAAATGTAGTTTGATATATTTGGGGAGATCAAATAATGTTTTGTATTCACACTTAACTTTTTTTGGTGATGTATTGCGTAAGATTGATCTCCCCTTTATCTGATTTATCTTTTAATTTTCTGTCATCATTTATATATATGCATAATAAATGACAAATCAAATCTGGCGTTTGTGTTACTTTAATATTGATAGATATAAATTTTTAGAGTCATGAGCAAAAAACTAGCTGCAGTGAACCTGTACAATTACAAAGGAGGACATAAAGAATTTATTTAAGTGTTTATCCTCTACTATAAGATTTTAAATGGTACCATTTCGAAACTTCTTTTTGCTCTAACATTGCTTTTTTCGGTCATTCATTGCAATGGTTAAAAAAATAAATGTCATTTCTTTGATTTCAGTGTTCAATTCAGAAGATATTTACTCAGAGTATTGTTGATTCTTTGTTCATTTATATTACATTTCTCAGTCAGACATCTTCCGTCTATAATGTCACATGATTTCCCTATACAGTTCTTCGAACAGTTAAATTCGCAGTTTCTTCCAAACACACCAGTTTTACATCCTACAAAAAGACACATAGCTATTAATTCCTTTATTACAAAGCAATAAATAATGAATGTAAAAATAGGTTAATTTTAAGGAAATCCGCTTATGTAAATGCTTGAAGGTGTCAACAAGTGAAATACAAGTAAAATACCATATAAGTGGAAATTTTAGCAAGACGCAAATTTAGCGATTTCTACCTAAGAACTGATATTTTACTTTTGGCGAGAAGTAATTTTAGCAATTTTTAACTGTTAACGAAAGAATCTATTACAAATAATATGCAGTTAATTTTTTTAACGATATTCAATTTTAGTGATGACAGCACACTCGCTAAAAATGCAAAAATTAAATCCTCGCTAAAAATTCTTCTTATACGGTAATCAAATTAAAAGTAACTAGAGATAGGTACACGTATTATGTATTTTCATAAAAGGTTTCGCTTCATTTTTCTACAATATAGTAAAAAGAAATCACTGAAAATATAGTTATCGGTAAGGTCATATATGAGCCAAATTACGTACTATATGTCGACAGAAACGTGGAAGACATGTTTGTATACACTTAAAAAATTACATTTTCATTGAATTGATAAGAAACACAACAATAGTGAATTGTGGAAAAATGAAGCCTAACTGCATTTGTTATGGAATTTTTCCAATATGCTCAAGAGAGACAAAAAAAATGTAAATAATAGAAGACATTTAATTATGGGGATTTTTTCATATATGATTAGTTGTTGTTTAGATCAGAGTGACCCATATGTTCGTGGACAGATGGGATAAGTATCATAAGCAATACATAATATAAATTCTACGGACTCTTTTATCAGGCCAAAGTACCCTGGCACACTTTATTACCTAACATTAATTGAAACTTGTGAAAAAAAATATTTAGCAGTAACTGAATAGTCCTGAAAAAATAAAATTGTGAATGCAGAGGACATTTGGTGTTGCCATTGGTTTAATCCAACAGCAAACTATAAATAAACAAGCTAATTCAGAGAATTCGTGTCCCCCACTTAGGGAAAAAGTGGGACCCCCCTGACTGAATTTGTAAAATTATTAAATGTATACATATATACTGAAGCAAATAAAATACATGTATGTCAATATGCGTATAAAGATTTGATTGCTTATTCTTTATTATTTGTATAGAATATTCTTTTGATATGGAATATCTATCACACTGTAATGATTATTTCATAACCTCATAAATTATTCTTTTCACATGCTGAATACTATCATTTAAAAAAAAGAAAAGTTAAAAAAAGGGGGATCGACCTCTCACATGTGCAGCGAGAGACATACCACTAGAGTACGGAATCGCTATAAATGTTCGGTATTGGTAAAATTTTACACAATCCATGGTGTTTGATTTATTTAGCCTTTATAAAACAGTTCTAATAGATTATAAGAACAATCCGACCAGAAGCTGTTTTATAAATAACTCTCTGTATGCCCCTATAAAAATAGCGACATGTAATACTATAAATACTAATAAAACAAACGGCGCGGTGCACTTTGAGAGGGGTGAGAGAGGTCCTAGGGAGTTTTTGTATAAAATTACATTGCATAAAAGTTCTTTAAATATCAAATGATAGTGTTACACACAGATAGAATTATAGAAAGTAAAACGAAATTGAACTTTGAACTTTTGATAGGTCTCTTCCTTAAGGCCACAGGGAGTTGTTAGGTAAAATTTCATTGCAATAGCTCAAATGGTTGAATATCGTGTGGAAACGAAATAAAATTGTTATAACAGACAGAATTTGCTTATTTATAACCTTAACCTTTGACCTTTTGACCTCAAAATCAATAGGGGTCTTCCTTAGGTCACAGGGAGTTGCTATGCTAAATTTCATTGCAAAAGCTCAAAGGGTTTTTGAGATATCGTGTGGAAACGAAAGCGTTAATTTCAAATAAAGAAATAAGTATTTTGTAACCCAAATTGTCCCCCACTTTTCAAGCGGGGGAAATAATGATTGCAATGCTTATTTGTACTAAATTTGATGTCATTTACTTTTCTAATATTAATTACCAGAGACACTGTTTAAATATCATATAATGAAAATTTTATTTGGTATAAAATAAAAAAGTGTGTATATATGCCTCCAAAATGCTACAGGACTTTAAAGTAATTGGCCATTTTGATTTTTTTACAAAAATATTTGGCGTATGACTTTATCAGTACAATGAATCACCCAAAATTCACCTTTCACTGTTTTTTGTATTTTTTTTGGGGGGGGGTTGTTTTTGGTTTATAAATGATTTATGGAATATAAAGCAAAAAATAAAAGAGCAAATTATTAATAAAATCAGGATCTTTATAATTGAGATTATTTCATATATATATAACAAAGTAAAGTTATTTAAGTAAAAAGAATCTATATTATTTTAGAATCTTACCTAATATTTTGACATCACAGATTTTAATACTTTGATTTCGATTATCGGCCTCGTAATCAAAAACCACATAGCGGCCATGATAATTTTTGTTTACAAAAACAGTTGTTTGTTTGGTCTTGAAGGTTCTTGATGAAGCATATATGATCCCTTTGTCACTTGAACTCGAATTAGAAATGAATAACGACCATAGTCCCGTCAATTCTGATAAAGAGAAAAAAACAGATGATCGAACTAAAATTGAAGAGATATCTGTAAAAAAAAAAAAACACACAGTTTACATTTGTCATCTACAAAAATATTTTTTTTGAACACTCTTAAAATTGTCCAAAAATATTTTATGAAATCAGAAAGATCTGTAAATAGTCACCTTTATTCTCCTTATACTTCATTTTGTTTCTTTCTGTTACATGAGCCTATAAAGGTTCCTGATCTCGTTCGGATTATTTTTATTTTTTTTAATAAAAAAACTACTACAATTATTGATATTTTCAGCAAAGAATTTTCTATTGAAATGTGTCTGTTAAATGAAACGATATTTTACCATTATGTTCATGTAATAAAATGTAAAATAGGCATGAATCTCGTGATTTCTTGCGTCCATTTAAGGTATTAGCGTACAGTTGACCAGGTTTGCATACTTATTTGAATGTCAAACAGTTTGCCTCGGGAAAAACAATGAACAATAACTGACATCCAAAAGGACTATAGTATTAAGATTATCATGTCACTTCATATCCATAGGAACAAAATTATTTTGTTTACCATATGAGATCAAACCAAAGAATCTTGTCGGTGAGTCTGTAAAGAAAAGAAACCACACTTGTTATCATAAAGTACACAAAAATACTTTTACACTTACTATACTTTGATAATTCGATTAACTTTGAAACTGTACTTAAACTTTTTTTCTGAATTTGAAAAGCCTAATGCTCTAAAATTCAATTAGCTATTACAACTAAATTTTGAACTTTTATATAAAACGCGACTTCATGGCTTTTTAAAATTCATCTTTTATGTTTATTAAGATAGAAAATGTTTGAATTTTTTTCTTCTTTTTTTTTAATAATTTCATATTTAATCGAAATAGTGTCATTACCTAATGTAAATTCAATCTGGTACACACTTCGGACATCTTGAAGATCGACAATCCATGTCAAATTTTCAAAGTGTTCAACAGAAAAACATGAAAATGCATCATATGTGCTTGTTCCAATTGATAACTTGGTTCTATTATAAACGAATATGGAACGTCCTTGGGATAAGTTATCTATTAAAGATATTCAGTAATATATATTAATATATTTGAACTCACTATGTGAAAAGTTTGGTCCATGTTTCAATTGTAGAGACTCTGCAGCCTATCGAAATTCACAATAGTAAACTTTAAAAAAAAATACCGTTACATGTACATGTATCTTATACTCTTTTATATCTTATACTCTTTTTATATCCTGTGTTCGATCCTTCGGATGAGACCGTATAAACCCCGGTCCCGTGTCGCAGAAGGTGCTGGCACGAAAAAGATCCTTCCTGCTCAATGACCCTGAGTGCCGAGTATAGGAAAAAAATTGCAGCTCTCGACCGGCAAGTGGTGGCGTCTCCATATGAGTGAAAAATTCTCGAGAGGGACGTTACACAATATACAATCAATCTATCATATATCTTGTGTACCATGGGTTTTTTTTAATTATGAAGTGAAGACAAGTTTATATGAACCCTTGGAACATGAATCCTTGTATTGTAGACTTCAACATAAACATTTTAGACCAGTCACGGTATCTAAGTCGGTAAAATGCTTGCTCCGTGATCGGGGGTTGTGAGTTTGAATCTATGCCGCGACTGACCTAACTCGAAAAAATAGGTAGCAACTGTTCCTTTGTCATACTCTTGGCACTTAAAGTGAAAGTTATGGGTCCTTCGGATAAGACCTTAAAAACCGATCCCTTGTCACGGCAGGCATTGACATGATAATGATCACTGAAAGCTCAATGGCTCTGAGTGTTGTGAAAAGGTCTAAAGAAGCCCTTTATCAGTATATGTCTATAAATGAATGATACAATCTTGCATGTGCATGTAACTTAAAACAATATAGAATCTACCAATAAATTATATTATACTTTTTTTTATAAATCTATATCAACATATTTATGGTTTCACAACAGAACCTTTTTTCATTGGTTGAGCGCTTTCAAATATAAATTAATGTTTTTTTGTGAATATAAATAATTAAAGCGAATAGATATGTGTATAACATAATTATATCGTCCAACTTACCGTATGCATAAGCACGAAATATTACAAAGAAAAGTGTTGATATCCCTTTAAGAAAAATTCCCATGCTATATTAGAGTAACTGCAGCTTTTATTTATTAAGATTTTAATCCATATGATTTTTAATACATTACAGAGGAAGTTGTTTTTCCGCTGGGTTGTTTCATTATCTGTTAAATACGGAAGATTGTCTTCGTTAAATAGAAAATCAACTGTTACAATCATGATGATCCCAATGACGGTTTCCGCTAACTAAAGTGAATGCTTTGTTAGTTTTTGTTGAAGAAATATTCTTATTGTACACTGTATATTGATACTTAAAAGGTCAGAGTACAGCTCACCGCACTTCATAAGAGGCAGTCCACCGAAAAACCAGGCAATTGGTGACACATCGCATGTCATGGATTTTAATTATTTTTGCATGTAAACTTATTAAAGTGTTTACACATTACAACAACAACAAAAAAAAACATTAAATGCTCCTCTAGTCCTATTTTAGGTAAATGCCTAATTCTAAGTGCAAAAAGGTCAACATGAGGGTAAAAAATCGACTACGTTTTTATTTTTGTCTTATGTGTAACAGATATTCAATTTGCTGGATTTGTTGATAAATTCTATTTGGCATAGACTTTTAACTTTTATTTTATTAATGAATAAGAATCCAATTTATATTTATTTTGAAAAAATAATAAGGTACAAATTTTAGTTTAGCAAATGAATTCCGTATGCAATTTTCATTACGTTATAAAACCAAATACATTAAATGGACATGATTTTCTCTGATGTTATTATGAATACAAAGTACAAACTTTGAGATACTCAATTAAATCAGTGGGAACAGGTATGTTGAAAGAAATATATGTCAGGGTTTTTTTCCTCAATTTTAAACGTACCGCAGATTGTTTAGTTTGATTTGATTGCATAGATATTCCACGCATATCCTAGAAAACATGATCAGCTTTAAAAAAAATTGTACTGTTCTCAGACATGAATAAAATAACTTATCAAATCGGACTTGTTTTAATACATCTAACTGAGTCGCTGCCCGTGTATAAGGTACATTTTGATAATCTTTTTCTCTACACTTTTACGCAAAGAATTTACAAAAGTTCTCTGGAAAACAGGTAACGATTGCAATGTGACGCAATATTAGTCAGGTATATGACGTCACTGATACATCAGTAATGGTTCGGGCCGTGGATATCGGCATGAATAACTCAATCGATAGAGCACATGACTAGAGATGTCCCGGGGTCCCGGGTTCGATTCCCGGCCCAGCCATACATTTTCTTCTTTCCTGTTACAGATTTGTACCGTGGCCTACTGAGATTCTCACTTCTGTCTCTCAGTGCAAGGTGTATTTGTGCAGGAGAGATACTTAAACTCTCTGTTGCTCTCACTCTAGCTAAGGAAGTCACTGTCTGATTTGCTTGCCTGTCCCTATCATTACCTACAGCAAATGACACACGACGTTTGCGTCTAAGAGTCTTCTACAACTCATGTATACATTTCTCAAAGTCTGTACTGAGGTCCTGCAACAATTGTTCTATATCTGAAACCTGAAAACTCATGCTACAAGTGTAGTATATAATTCATTCTCACTCACAGGAGAGGACAAAGAGTCTGTTTGACTCGACATAAGCTTACTTCTAGCACCTTGACTAGCATATAACCTATCAACTAGGGGTTGACGTAGCTCTTCCTTCTCTATCAGAACCTGAATTTATGGTTTCATGGTTTCTATTCAGAAATCCTAGTCACGGCTTCAAAAAAGTATGTAACCGGAAGTAGAACACTTAAGCGAATAATTACCAAAGTTACTTGCCAACTTGGCTTAAAGGAGTAAACTATCTCCAGTTATCAATAATCAACTCAGGTAGGGGGATTTTTTTTTTATCTATGATCAACGCTAAATGAAAACACAGTTGTAAGTTTTATAAATTTATAAAGTGAGAATTAATCTTTGTAAATGATAAGAAATAATAAATAATGATAAAAATTTTACAAGTAGAAAAGTCTTTGAAAATTGCACAGGATTAATAGAGCTTTATCAAAAATGTAATTTAATCTGGTACGTGAATCACATTTATCTCAATGATAATCTCAAAATATAATAAGTAGTTAAAAAATGTAAGGAAAAATGTGGAACAACTATAAAAATAATATTTATGTCCTTACCGAGCTTCCATACTGATAAAAATGATAACAAATCCTATAAAAATCAATGAGTTCGAAAATGTAGGGGGACTAAACTAAGCACCCAATATGACTACTATCAACACTCTAGAGCTGAACTAAAAATAACAATGCTAATTTCAGGCTGTAAATTTTTAAAGATAAAATTGGATTTTTTTTTTCTCTGGGCTTTAAAAATAAAAAAAAGATACATTTATCACATGATGACGACAGTGTACGTAAAGCTAATTATGAATATTTCAGGATCAGCATAAAACATTTTACACATCTTAAGCATTCTTATTTTAACACACGTGGTTGACGATAACAGTACTGTAAAATACTTTGAATTAGAAAAAAAAATCATTATCTCCCAAAAAAATTATAAAAACTTAAAAACTTGTTTTCAAATCAATTTTTGCTTTTCGCCCGAAATAAATCAATAAAAATCTTAATTAAAAAGAACTAAACTGAATTGTAGAATTCAAATTTGACATAATAACTGATATATGATGCAGAAATCAAGAAAATAAAAGTCTAGAGAAAAATCCATGCAATCCTAACCTTTGAACAAATTTAATTCGTCACAAGTTTAAAAAAGAAAATCTTTTAAATTAATTAAAAACATGTTTGATATACTCATTTGAAAAAAAAAGAAATTTAATTAGATATTTTTTTTTAATGCGCCACAGGTCAATTTCGAATTCACCCCGGTCAAACTGACTGACCGAGGAGGAAATGTTAAGGTTAAGCTATGTACACTTTTGTATTCTGTATTTCTGGAAAAATTTAGCTTTACATCACGCAAACCTTATTGCTATTTGATACAGTGTCATTACGACTCTTTTTCTTTTCACTTTTTACAAGACTTCACACAAAATGATGGATAAAAAAATTAAGTTATTTTAGACTGAAAAATGTATTTTTTTTCTATTTTCTAATCTTCGATTTGATTTCTCGTACTTCTCAGTGATTGTATTATAAAGTACATGTAGTAAATTTTCAGACCTTAGATGCAGGGATTTATACAGGAAAAATGAAATCTTGATTTAGTCATGTTAACTTGAAATGATAATCGCATTAAAAAGACTAAATCCTTATTTGATTTATCAAGAAAATATTTATAACTCTTCCTTGTATTTTTTTTTTATTGAACACATGTATTTGATTTCAACCATTGCATTAAAATAAATGGTATCACATATTCAAATAAAATTATTAAAAATTATTACAGTATACATAGAGCCCGAGGGTGATAGCACTGCTCATACCAGTTCTTTGTAATGTTTTTCTTCTGAACAGTCTTTAAGCATCATTTAAGCCAGTGTCATCCAGTTACGGCTTATAAATACTTGGAATTGACTGTTTCAAAAACTTTATTCTGGTCCTTCATCTTCAAAATGTAGGACAGATCCAAATCCGAAGCAAGTTAGGTAGTATCCATCCCTAGATGTATCATCCAGTAAAGTTTGGTCCGGGTGGGGTTTATAGTTACTTAAGAAATGCATTTGCTCCTAAAACATGAACGAGAATAACGACGCTAACGCCAACTCCGGGGATCAAGCATAAGCACATCTCGACATTGTCGAAGGTTAGCTAAAATGTTGATGTACACTCTCAAAGCAGGATGAAAATTTATTCATAGTGCGTATTTCCCCCCAAAATTTGACGCTTTTCAAAGTGCTTTGATTTTGTCTCGATTTTAAAACATTTGGTTATCTTTTTTCAAGGTGCGCATTTTTTTTTCAAAGTGTGTTGCCACAGAAGATGCTCCTGCCAATCGAATCAATTGAAGAATAAAAACCTCAGACAGTGTATGTAGGTGATAGGATTACACTTATTAATGAGTTAAGGAATCCGAGGTCGACGATCAATTTCAAAGACCAGGTCATCATAACGCTTTGCTGTAAGATGTCCTTTAACCTCTTTTTAATGAGGTATATGTCAAGAATCATATATTCCTTTGTAATACAACCCAATTAAGCTCGGATACCATTTCAGTAAAAATTATAACGATAGATTTAGCTTAAGAGAAGATAGAAAGAAGGTAAGCCTGTCAGAAAACACGCATCACCTGTGTTTTAATGGTTAATACTATTCATTTAATTGGGTTTTTTTTTAAACAAAACTGTTGTTTTATACCAAGTCCCCCCCTTCTTTTATCAAAGGATGTAGCTATATTTGCAGCCTTCGGAGAGTAGTCAGGCTATAACATTAAGGTAATTTATTAATGACTAGTTTTCTTCCCTTTTGTGTATTTTTCAATTTTATTATTTTTGGGGAGGGGATTCAATGTAGAAAATTTTGCTCATATTTTGTTCAAACAATATTCAAGCAAGCAGAATACGTAATTTTATGCAGATTATTGAGGATACCCCACAGTCCGATATAATACATATTGGAGGGACGATTATAATCAAATTTCAGCTGTAAATTAACATTTAATTTCACATTTCTTTATTTTCAACTAAAATATACCTCAAAAGAGACTGATTAATGAATATAATTAAATTTCGTTAAAGCGTTCATTCCTATATATGCAACGACAAAGTAATGTTATGCATGCCTATGACATTCACATTGTAAATTGATATTGAAAATGTATATGCATTTCTGCATATAAGTAAAATTTGTTGTTTGCCTCCTCTAGATCTGATAATCATTAACGTGCCTAACTGAGCGCCTTGGAAAATTATATTATTCGTGTATTTCTAATCACTATCATTTTCGAGTCGAACATGGCAACACAGCAGTGCCTTACATGGGACTAATTTACTCTCAAAAGAAGAGTGACTTTGAAAGCAATCTTAAAATTATGTATCTTTTAGTTTGCTCTCGTCTTATTCAGGGTAAAATTTTTGGGTCAGAAGGAAGGTAGAATTTTTTCCCAGAAGTTTAAACATATATGTCGAAGTGATGAAGAAAATAAAGTACTTCGTGTCCTGGAATGTGAAACGAAAGGTTTTGAGTCAGTCCATCTCTGGACACCCTTTCGGGTAATGGAAACCAAGCATTTTTCTTTTAAAGATGGCTCATTTAATTTTATTAAGTTAAGTATATTTGATTCGT